ACACACACACACACACACACACACACACACACACACACACACACACACACACACACACACACACGCACATCCTCTCACTCACCCATCACTATGCTTATTTTGATACCTCTTCCCTTTTTAACAACACGTGCCAGATTCATGTACACATTCGCGTAGATGCAAATTTAACGGCTGCAGTCGACCTGGCGCATGCACATATATAATGGACGGTCGGGGTCGCTTGTACACATCCCCGTGGCGCCCCCTCCGTCCCACTGCCCCCCCTCCTCCCCATGGGTTGTACTACCCCCGTAAATTATTCACTGGGACGACTTGGTTGTCTCGGGCGGGTAGTGGGGAGTGGAAGGGGAGGGGCAAGGAAAGCGGGATAGGACCGAAAGGAAAGGGAGCGCGAAACGGAGAAAGTGGGAGCCGAAATAACTGATAGGCAGATCTGGAATAGATGCGGGAAATGTAGGAGAATAGGATGTGGAAAGGAAGGGAGAAAAGGGAAGAGGGGGTAAAGGGGGAACTGGACAGTCACCACTCAATACTGCGCATGAGAGAGGTCGGTAAGGGAGGGAAGGAGAGGGGAAGAGGGGGGAGAGAGGGAGAGCTCGAGGCTAGACACAGGACTGTCACGTACACGTTCGCTGTACGCACAGGCAAATTCCCCATCACTTGTTGATGATATAGATGCCATTCGTTATTTATTTATTCATCCTACTGAAAAGATCAAAGCGAAAAGGGTGAAGGCGACCGGAGGGTCAAGCTGAAGGTGGAAATTGCAGAAGGGTGAGAGTAAATGAAGGGTGAATGGAATAAAGGGAGAGAGGAACCGCATCGAACTTTTGTGTCATGTATATTTTGCATGTCTTTTTGTTTCTTTTTTCTCTCTCTCTCTCCTTCTCTGACCTGTCATTAACGCATGCTCAACTATCTTGCATGATTTTAAGTAAACGTTTGTGGCTTACGTGCTTGGTGTTAATTGCAAACTTGATCGTTTTATAACAACTGCCTCGCTTCCTTTCCGTTGTTTCCCCCTGATGCGCCTGAAGTCAATCCACGGCTTTTCCCGCCTCTTTTTCCCTTTATTTATGCATGGATCAGCGTCAAAATTACTGCCAGCTACTTTTTTTTTTTAATCGGCCAGGCTTTCTCGCACGGGAATATGAAAGATTTATTAGATGTAGAGAAATACATGGCTTTTCTCTTAAATCTTAAGGGAAACAGTTATAAAGGGCTTATTGAATGGACGTGGCGGTATTTGCATAGCGGGACAGAGCATCAGTCTGATTCAGGATTCATGATAGTTTACCCTTCTTTCGCCAGAGGAAGGTCTGTTTATATTTGTCAGGCGCTGAGATTTACAGGACAATGTATGAATGTTCGCATGATAAATGCATGCCGGCGGCGATGACCTTGCAGAATTTAATTTAGATACCGTCAAACGATTACGAATGGGCTGATCTTTGAAAGGACACAGCATTATTTCTTCGGGTCGGTGGTTGCTCTTTGGTTTAGAAGCAAAGGATTTTACTGAGTAGATATACTAGCATGTGCTTAATACGCAATTATCAAAAAGCAATTAACTTGAATCAACTTTGTTATAACGTATCTTACAAGCACTTGTGCAGATAAACGTATATTCAGTCGAATTAATAGAGAAAATGCCTTCAGCAGAATGTTCTAGGAATAGCTGCCATAAAACTGCGTTTACATTTTCTACTGATATAATCTGATGTAGTTGACATATAAAGGCGTGTAGCTATATTCAATATATATTCTTTTATCCATGTAGATAGTATAATTGCAAAATATTCTCAGCCTGATTGAAGAACGAAGATCTCCTCCTCCGCAGATCGGCTGCAGGTAACCAACAAGTCATCGAACCTCTCAGGCCATTTTCCTCGTGTCACGTGCTTGGTGACTGCAGCTGGTCTCCTTCGGGCGTCGTCCACGAACTCAGAGGGTCTTGCTTCTGCCGGACGAGAGGCCCATTGGACGCGTGTAAGGCTTACTTAATTTCATTGTGATAAAGAGTTACGGTAATAGTAATTCATACTGCTTCTATAACCCTGTCGGATGTGTTGTAATTTTCAAACATTGTAAGTAGGGATTTGTAATAAAGGTTGTGTGAGGATCGTGTGTTTCCTAATCATCAGGTGCAAAGATTTTGATTGATCATTGTACGTGTCTAAGCCAACGGCAGACACTGTGCAAATATTATATTCAGTCTGAAAAAAATAGACTTCGTTTTCAAATCGATGCTCGAAAAGCGTTACTTAAGGCCCTATCACACTAGCACTTTTTCCGTCATTTTTTTCGTTTCCGAATGAACTTCCGTATTAAAATCATGTAAACAAACCTGGCGCTATCGGAGTGGGGTCCCGGGAATCATACGAACAATCTCATACATATTACGTTATTTTAAAGAAATATGATGATGTAAATTGTATATACGAATGTTCTAAAACGTTAGCTGATGTTTACATTCACTCATCCTATCTAATTTATTAAT